TAAATATAAAAATTTATAAATAAAGAGATACATTATTAATAACTAGATAAATGTAAAGCTATTTGGAGTATGAAGAACTCTTGTAATGACAAAAAATTATGATTATTATTTTTTATATATAAATAAAAAAGTCATAAAATTACTTTAAAAATTATTAAATTTTTTATGATATAATTATAATTACTATATTTTATAATAAATTATGTAAAATTAAAAAAAATTCACGATCGCAATGAATGCAATGACTATGATAACAACTGTTATGTTCGCAATTGCAATAAATGCAATATGATCAAAAACGAGATTGCTACCGCAATTTGAATCCATGGACAAGAGTTATTGTTCCGATAGCACCATCTGAATTCAAGGTTGAATTTTTATACTGATTGTGTTTCCTATTTATATGGTGTTGGAAGAGTGAAACGGTATCGTATTTATTGTGAGTTTTCTTCTTATGTTCTAGGCGGAGGCTGCCGCTTGCAATAAAGATTAAAAAAAAAAAAAAAGAGAACGAATCACTGAGTTCTTGGAAAGGTGTAAAAATTATAAACTTGATAAAGCTGAGATGTTCAATATAATCAATCTGAGACCACCTGCTCTAGTTGAAATTCACTCTGTAAAACTTTTCTTTTTAGTGTCTCTATTCTAGTGATATTGCTTGAGCACCATTATCTTATACATGTCATCCATGACCATTCCTGTTTCCATTGCTAAGCTGTTCATGGCATTTCCTTCTTGGTTCATTTTTTATGCCAAATAGTATGTGTTATTTTCTTGATATTACTACCTTATACAGACATTAGAGCTTAATTGATTTGTCAAAAAACTGTCTTCTTTGGCACCAGCATTACTTAATTTGGTCTCTTGTCTTCCCAGATAAGTAGAGCAGTCTGAGAAGCGATTTGGAGAACAAGTAGAAGAGCTGGTTAATTTGGTAGTAGAGCTGTTACCAGAGCCTCCTACACACACAATATATATATATATATATATATATGCTTAAGAAGGACGGACTGGAAAAACATGGATGAGGATGAAAGGGAAGCTGCAAATTATGAACAGATTGATAAGGAGGACCAAACAGAACAAAACGAAGATGGTAAGCAAATGGAGGTTAGCTAATGCCCTCTATGCGGGAGAATTCCAATGGCAGTGGTGCTTCTGGATATATAAACATGAGACCAATAGTGTGCTGATATGATAAACTTCACTTAATGCAATCAGAAACTTTATTTAGATGTGATAATTTAAAATGTCATAATTATATGATATAAAAATAATATATAAAATATGAAAATAATATAGATTAAAATTTTAATAAAAATTATTTATATTCAATAAAAATAAAAATAAATTTTATATTTTGTTATCGAAATAAATTATAATTTTTTATATAAAATATAAGATAAATATATAAATTATTAATATTTTACGTAATATAAATATATAAATAAGAAAACACGAATGATTGGCGCTAACTTCACTAAATAGTTGATAAGTTTATCAAGTAGGTCGTTATGGCCTTGGTATTATCCAAAAATTTTTTCCTTTATGGTTTTTGCCCTTTCTAATGGGTAGGTCAGAATTTTCAAATAACAGAAGATCAATCAACAAACTCCCAATTAAGCACATCATTTTACAAGATAAAAAGTGTTCTGTTTCCAAACGAGGGTGGGAATGGCAAATATATCCCAACGGATTGGGTTCGGACTTAACTCGGCCTTGCAAGATATTTTTTTTCTTTCAAAATTGAGTTTTGAGTAGGGTAAGATCAAATTTCTTTTAAAATTAATTTCGGTTAGAGTTGGATTTTAAATAAAATTTTTTATTCGGTTTTGTATATATATAAAAAATATTTTTGTTATTATTTAATTTTATATTTATATATTATATTACTTAAATTACTATTTAATATATTAATTTAATAATAATATTATATTTATATATAATTAAAATGTAATTTATATTAAAAAATAATATTTCATAAAAATTATATTAAATTAAAATATTAAATTAACTTCTAATTAAATCAAATTAATTATATTTTTATATATATAAATCGAATCGATGTCACAAATAATATTTAATATTAAATTAAAATTAAATATATATTTTATAAAATTAAACCGAAATCAAACGAGCAAAATCCTGCTCACACTCAACCGTCACTAAACGAAAGTGTGAACAAAGATGTTTGGTTTCAAAGAAGAGCACTCCGAAATAATCTGCCACCTGGTCCACCTGCACCCTCAACAACTCCTGTCAAATCAAACATCACTTCCAATGCCAATTTGTTTTTTATCCTGAAAATAGCCTACAGTTAGTGAAGGTGGTGACCGATGACTGGTGAAGGAGATGGGCATACTGGCCAACGCTCTCCTTTTGGATTTGAATATATTTTGGATCCAGCAGAGTCGTGCCCCTTTCCCCACTCCACCCTCGTTTTTTCCCAAGCTGTCTTACCTAATCCATGAAAATAATTCATTTCATAAATTCGGACATTAATTTAATTAATTAATTTAATTATTTATAAAAAATATATATTTATAACTTTTAAAATTAAACTTCAATATTTATAATTTTTTATTTCTAAATTCCTATTTTTTATTATATGTAAAAAACCAATTTACTTCTTTTTTAAGACTTAGACACTCAAATAAAATTTCATATTATACTTCAAAATAAAAATAAAAATTTTATTTTTTATTACACAAAATTAAGATCATATAGTTTTGTTTCATTGAAAGAATGCTCATTAAATTCTTAAAAATAGAAGAATAAAATTTGACAAAATTTTTTAAATAATTTTTTAAAAATATTTATCGTTCACTTCATTCAAAAAATTAAATAAATATTTTTATAAATTAAATAATAATTAAAAAACTTAACATAAAATTGAAAATTTTATTCTATCAAGATGCTAATTATAATAAATTAAAATTTTATAATTTTAATTTCATGTAATAAAAAATTTAAAACTTCTTTTATTTTTTTATTAAAATCAAAGACTTATTTTGAATATTATTTTTCTTATAAATAAGGTGAATTACAAAACTCCCTATAGCTTTTATTATCTAAATTGCAATCATAAAGCTAGAAACTCTATCATCTTGTAGTTCGAAAAAAAAAATACAATGAAAATTTGATTCAATTGATTAATTCACTTTTTATTTTAAGTGATTTTGAATTCGATCAACATGATTTTAAATTCATTTCTAAGTGAAGCAATTTATCTATATCACTGAATTGCGTTTAGTAAAAAAATGTACGCCAAAAAAAAAATTAAGAGGGGAAAAGGAGGAATTCTAGTAATAATTCATAAAAAAAAAAAAAAAAAAGTTAGTCAAGTATTTTAAAAGATAAAAATGTCAGATCTGTTGAAAGGACAGTTGAACAGGACATCATAAGGAAATTGGAAGTGGAATTCTCTGACTACGTCTATAAATATCGTCCCCTTGATTGATATAAAGGTTCGTAGGGAAACCTTTAAAGCAAAGACATCTATAAATTGATATAAAGGCTTGTAGGGAACCCTTTAAAGCAAAGACCATTTTTTTTACAATATTATTTCTTTTAAAATAAAAATTTCCCTTCTTTTTCTACCTTAATTTAGATAAACAACTCTGCCACATCTAAGCAAACAGAAAAATATGTTCCAAATTCTGTATGTTAGGACAGGAAAGTCACCAGCCCCCTCGTGTGTGTGTTTGTTACTGAATTTATTGCCTTAGCTTTCACAAAGCACACTTCAAAGCATTATTAAAACTACACTGATGGCTCAAACCAACGGTAATTGGAATTCGAAGAATTGAGTAAATATGATAATTATTCTGATCTAATATATAATATTATTTATTTTTAAAATTAGATTTAAATTTGATATTTTTTTTAAATAGATGTAAATAGAATTCTATAAGTTTAGTTTTTTAAAATTTTTTATTTTTGATATTATTTTAATATAATTTTTAATATTAATTAAATAAATTAAAATATAAAATAATTATTTTTATTTTATAAAATATTAATAAAAATATATAACTCATCTCAATTCAAATATTTTTTATTTTTTTATTTTTTGATGATTCAAATTTAATAAAATCATCTAATATCTAAATTTAATAAAAAAAAATCGAATCAAATATTATACTTTCAAATTAATTTTTTATTTTTCAATTTTTCTTTTTCTCCCTTTGAGTTGAGGAGGGACAGCTGTAGGGAAATAAAAAAAATATTCAGATAGGGTACAAATACAATGAATGCTGTCGCATCCTATCCCTCAAACAGCTAAAGACATTATGGACAAGGGAAAAGTAGGGAGACGGGAAGAAAAAGAAGAGAAGAGAAGAAAAAGTGTGTATAGTATTAATTAGAAGGAAGGAAACAGATAAAGAAACAAGCAACCAACTTTCAGGTATGAGAAAAGGAAGCGAAACAAACAAGATGTCCCCATCATGGATCTCCTTTGATGCTCCTATCTCTGTAGCTTCCATTTCTACTCAGAATACAAAATAATGCACCCCCACATCTTATTGATCATTCACATGCAGTTTGCAAAACATAGCTGTTTGTTACTGTTTGACACAAACTGGACAACTAATAATTACATTATTTATTAATAAAATACTAAAAATTTCATTTCAATAATCAAAATTAAATTCTTTAATATCCTCGAACGCAAACTTAAAAACCTCCAACTTTCCATACCTTGAACATATGGTGCTCACTAAAAACAGCCGAGTATACGAGCAATAATCATGAGTCACGACAGTACCAAAAAGTAAAAACCTATTAACTGATGAACCTTGGGACAGATCTCATTTTCAGTGTCAGTATATATTAATTTAAAGCTAATAACAAGCGATTAAAAAAGGAGTAATTAAGGAGAAAAGTAATATGCATGCCAGCTTCTATTTTTTCATAAAAACATAATCTTATTTACACTCTTTTACTTCCAATTTGTCTCATACAAACTTGCCTCAATGCAAGTGAAAAAGGCAAAACAAAAATAAAAATAAAATAAAAAGATGAGAGAAAGATGAAAGAACAAACAGTGCAAGTTACCAAAATAGCAATAATAGAATGAAAGTACTGAAACAAATTTTTTTCTTCTTTTTTTGAAAAAGGTCTTAGAATTTTAGTGTACTATTTGCTTTGTTATTATTATTACTATTTTTTCACGGCATGAAAAGCTTGTTGCCACACTTGCAACGCCAAGCTTCAGGGTAGTACTCAAGTGGCATACTAAACCCTGGATGAATCGGGACGTGAACCGGTTTACAAGGTGAGCAACTTCCACACTTGGATATACAAGAAGGTGGTGAAGAACCAGGACCACTGAGTCGTTTCTGAGCCAAGAACCGGTCCAACACCTCTGACCCACTTCTCTTCTTACTCCCCTCTCTCTCCTGGAACCCGCTGCCTGCACAAAGAAACACAAAACCGCACCGAGTTAAAAGACCGAGTCAATGGTTACACTTGTATGCTTGTATTCAAGTTCAAAAGTTAAAAACAAAAAACGAAGGGATTTAAAGAACTCACCGAGTTGAGAAAGAGTGATAACTGAAGCAAAAGCGAATAAGAGAAAGGTGAAGGCAACGGCGGTATGGTGGTGGTGGTGATGATGGCGTTGGCGCGATACGCCCATGCCGAGGAGGAGCTCGCGGAGGGGGTTATTAAACTCAGCTCAAAGAGTACGGACTGAGGAGGAGCTAGAAGATTTTTTTTGTTTTGAAAGAGAAGGGAGATGCTATTATTGTAGGGCGTTTTTTTTTTTTTTTTTTTTTTTTCTTTGGCTTGAGAGTCCAAGTCAAAGACACATCCAGAAAAAATATTATAAGAGAAAAGTATCTATATTTTTGTTTTATTGTTTGGCCAAATAGTTGGGGTTGAGGTCTACCAATGAATTATTGCGAATGAAAGATGTTTTTATACATTGCCTCGTAGTAAAGAAACACATTATGATAGTGTTTGATAATTTTTGTAAGATTATTATGATAATTTAATTATTGAAATAATTGTATTATTAAAATAATTTTATCATTCATGATTTAAAATTATTTTATTTGATTAATAATTATTAATTTTTAAGAATTAAAGATTAATGTGTTTTGTATTATTAAAATCAAATATTATTTTATTTAAAAGTATGAAAATAATTATGCATATTGTAATAATTATATAAATTGATAATTTTAATATTTTTTAAATATAATAATTTGTAAAATATTAATAATAGTTTATTATATTATAATAAAATATAATTAAATTATTAAATTAATAAATATATTTATTGATAGATAAATTTATTTTTATAATATAAATTATGAAAAAAATATTTGAATTAAAAAATAAATGTAATTTATTAAATTCATAATAAAAGAAAAAAATTATATATAAAATATTAAAAATAAAAGCATACCAATCATTTTTAAACTTATTATAGTGAATATTAGTTTAAAAATATAAAATAATTATAATTTTAAGAGTAAATAAGTATTTAATTCACATATTAAATTGATAATATTGAATATTATCAATTTTACATATCACTTCACTTTAATTATAAAAGTTTCTTATTGTTTATAAGAATTAGATTATCCTCTAAAATAATTATATAATCACTCCCGATAATCCAAAATCATCATCACATAAGATACTAAATACTTACCAAATATAGTAATATAATTATCATGTGTAAATCACTAAAATTTTTAGAGTGATTATCTTATATCAAACACTACTTAAAAGTTAATAACTTAGGTGGTGGTTACATTAGTTATTATAGTTATATGATTGAAAATTAAGTAATAAGAATAAAATTAGTGGTAAGATATATAAGTATAGCAATGGTAGTGAAATAAAATATAATGAAATAAGCAAATAACTAAATATTATATTAAAATTTGTATACAAAGAAATTTATAGTATATATTTGATACTTGTGAAATTAAAAATTATTTTTATATATCAAAAAAATTTTTGTAAATGAATATTTAAAAAATATTTGTACGTATAATTTTTTAAGTTTTTGTTTATTTGCACATGTAATTTGGTCATCCTAATTATGCTTATTTAAATAACAGCTAGTTTAAAGTTCTTTTTGCATATATAATATATTTAGATTTCCAGGTGAAGGCAGTCGAATATCTAATGAGATGCAGTCGCCTGCTCTAAGCTTATTTTTAATTATGCGCGTCACTTTCCAAAAGGTAATCAACTGTTTGGTGGAGGGCAGTCAACTGCCCTATGAAAAAATGTAAATAAAAAGGATACAATTGCCCATCGAAGGGTTCAAAGTATGGCACGATATAAATGAGTCCATCGTACCACTGTGTTTGAATACAAATGAACCTCTACGGCACGATTGGTGTTGTATTATGGTGTAGTTAAGGTAACAAAAGAAAAAATGCAGAAATGGAAAAGAAGAAACAAACTCATAGTTATGATATTTTTAGGAAGCTTTCTTAAGGATAATAATCTCTCTATTATAATGCAAATGGACTCATGGATACACTATTTCCAAGACAATGTATATTTTGAAAAAGGAAAAGATACACTTCAATTCCCTCTCGAACTCATTGATATAATGTTCAAATCTAAAAACTTGCCCATTAGACATAAAACTATAAAGTTATCATCAATATTTTTTTTATGTAAGTGTGATTGGTTATCCAAATAAATCTTTCATTTTTACCCAAATAAATCTATCATTTCTAAAATTATCCTTAACTTTAAACTAAAAGTCCCTAAAAGAAATAAGTTTTGATCTATATTAATAAAATTAAGTTTGAAAGTTGATTACATGTAATGAAGGTTTTAGCATCTCACAACACTCACAAATTGGTGCAAAATTAATCTTATGTTATCTTGTTTAAGTCTTAATAAAAAATTATTTTTATTAATTTTGATATTTAAATATTAAAAAAATTTTAGGTTTTCATCAAAAGAATTTTTTTTTCTCATATCAAGAGTATTTAAGATAAACTCATTGTTGATTTGAAGAGACTCTGTCATCGAATTAAATATTTTATGAAAAATATATATTTTCATTCTTTTTATTTATTTACAAACATTATTTACAAATAATGGTACAAATATATTTACAACTTTCTAATCATAATATTTACACTTTTCAAAAAAATATAATTTAATTTTTATTTTCATCAATTAAATAAATCAATTTGTAAAAAAATCAAAATAAAAACAAATAATGAATAAATAAATAAATTAGTAAAAAAAACAAAATAAAATAATTTCATAAAAAAATTATTATAAAAAATATTACTTCAAACCCCGTTAGATAACAAATAAATATAACACCATAATAAATAAAAATAAAATAATGTGTACCTAACCAATGCTCTTAGACCAACCCGAAATAGAGCTTACTATACAAAAAATTTTGCTCAACTCTGTTTACTTTAATATTATATATATGGCTTTTTTTTTTTATGATTCTTCTTGATTGTTGTCAATTGTTTAATTGCTTGTTATCTTGCTGAATTGCCAATTGTTCTTGTGATCTCCCCATCCAATTACTTATTAATTTTCTTTTTTCCTCTGCTCGAGAACTTTTCCCACAAAACTCAAAGTTTTGTATTGCTTAATGATTGTTAATTGTGTTGCATGTTTGTTTTAGCTTGAAATTGAGCTTTTTATATAAGGATTAAATCTCTTTTCAATTTGAAAAAAATTTAATATCAACTGAATCTATCAAAATCTTATCAAAATTTCTTTTCCATTTTGTAGAAACTTAATTCCCAAGAATTATTAAAATCATACTCAACCTTTAAATTTCAAATATAAATAAAATCACAATCTTTTAAAAAATTCAAAATTTATGTTCTTTTTTTTACCAAATAACAAAACAATAAATAAAAATAAGTGAAGAAAAATAATATAAATAAATTAAAAAAACACTTTTGAGCCTTTAAATTTGGACTTAAAATCCAATTTCATAAATTAAAACCCAATTGAACAATTTCATAACTTATTATCGAAATAAAATTTGAAGCCTAATGAATATTGAGAAAAATTTTCGAATGAAATGAGGTGTATATAGTTACTCTTCGTGCATTTGTTATAAAATAGGAATTGTACAAAGATAGAAGACATCCATTTTATCCAAATATCACATGTCCAACAAAAATTAAATACTAAGACATCAAAGATTCATAGTTTTGGAAAAAAAAAAATCAAAGATTCACAATTGAAAAACATGTTAAAATTCAAAAATATGCTAAAATTCAATGGTTTGCAATTAAAAATTCCAAGATTCACAAAATATTCAAAGGAATTCAAAAATTAGGAACATTCAAAGATTCGTAAAAACATTTAAAGATTCACAAAAGTTCAAAGATTTACAAAAGCAAAGATTTGTGAAAGAATTTAAAAATTCACAAGAATTCAATGATTTGCAAGAGTTCAAAAACTAGCAATAGTTCAAAAATTTGCAAGAATTCAATGATTTGTAAAAGTTCAAAAAATCAGTTTAAACATTCACAAGAATTCAATGATTTATAAGAGTTTAAAGATTTACAAAAATTCAATGATATGCAAGAGTTCAAAGATTTGTAAGAATTCAAATATTTGCAAGAGTTCAAAGATTTCCAAAAATGCAAAGATTTGCAAGAATTCAAAGATTTGTAAAAGTTCAAAGATTCACAAATAATTTCAAATATTCACAAATGAAATTCCAAAATTTCATAATTATAAAGATTCGCAAATGAAATTTCTAAATTTTACAATGGTAAAGATTCATAAATAATTTCAAAGATTTACAAATGAAATTTCATAATTTCTCAATTGTAAAGATTCATAAAAAATTTCAAAGATTTACAGATAAATCTCAAAATTTCGTATCTAAAATTCAAATATTTGCATTTAGAAAAATATTTAAAGATTCACATCCAAAGTGAAAATTTTTAAAGATTTATATTCAAAATTCAAAAATTCAAAATTTTTAAAGATTCACATCCAAAATTCAAATATTTGCATTAGAAATATTCATATTCAAATATTCACATCCAAAAATTCAAAGATTCACTTTTGAAAAATTTTAGAAATTCACATCTAAAATTTGAAATTTCAAATTCGAAATATTAACATCCAAAATTCAAAGATTTATATTTGAAGACTTTTAAAAACTTAACTAAAAAAGCTCTTCTCTTGCAAAGGCATTGAAATTTTAAAAATTTTCTCAAAATATTTTCCTTAACCACAACTAAAAATTCTTTTAAATGGACAATCAAAATCTCATTTTAACAAAAATTTTCCAATTTGAAGACCAAAATCTTATCTTGAAAAATTTTCCTTAATTAAGGATTGAAATCTTATTTTTGAAAATTTTTCCTAAATCAAGGATTAAAATCTCATTTATTTTTCCATCAAAATTTTCTTGAATCGAAGCTTAAAATCTCATCTTTTAGCATATTTTTTTCAATTGAGAATTGCCAAGTCCATTTTTTTTTTTCATAAAAGCTCTCATAATTTCAATTTCAAAATCAAAAGGCAAAATTAAATGCAATAAATTTCATGAATGTAATGTATGAAATGCAAAAATCAATGTTATGCATATCTAATTGTGGTAAAAGGTCCTTAAGAAAATTTTATGTCTTTTTTCTTTTTCAGCTTTCCATTCTGTTCTTCTTCAACTTCTTAGAATTGGCCATTAATTTTATTAACCAATTTGTAACCCAAAATGCCCTTTTTGCTAGTCTCATTATTTGATCACAACATTGAAATGTTTCT